CCCGACGGGTTGCTAGAGCTTTGCGACGACGGATCAGGGGAAGCCGCAGGACGAGGGGCATCACCCGAGGACCCAGCAGCAGGGTCGGGGAATAGGCCATCGTCGTCATCATCACGAGAGCATCGCAGAACACGGAGAAGTTGTCCTTCCAAGTCATCATCGCTGAATTGTGTCACTGGGTATGGTGGATGTTCATCATCTCGCATGGCGATGTCCACCTCCTGGCTTGACGAGAGGTCGTTGTTACCTTCGCCCACCACCATGAGGACGAGATCCAGGTCGGAGGGGTTCGGGACACCCTCGTGGTCGATGCTGGCGTTATCTTCGTCAGGTGGTGGTTCGTCCTGAGCGTGAGCTTCGACTGTCAAGTCGATGAGCAGGTGCGGCAGGACGTAGAGGTGCGGCATGAGCGCAGGAGGAGCGAACGGCGGGGCCAAGGCGATCTGAGCTAGGTAGTCGTCTCGATTGGCAGCTGAAATGCGTGACGGGTCAGCACGCCATCCAAGCTTTTTCAGGTGTGCCATAGCGAGCAAACGAAGCCGACGCGTCCGTTTGTCATCATGCACAGGCCAAGGGTCAATTAGTAAACGTCGAATATGCTCCCGAGCAATAGCTGTGGCACCACCCACTGAGACACCAGTCGTTCGCGAGCTGCCGCCTGCTCACGGAGTCGCTGCAGAAGCCTTGGAGGTCATCGTACCTGAGAACGTTCTCCATATACTCAGGGCACCATCGCATCCATTGGTCGAAGTCAGAGCCGTGCATGTTCACCATCAGCGTGGGGATTCACGACCACGCCCACGCAACAATTCGGTCTTCAAGCACCTGACGGCGAGCATCGACAGGAAGGCCAGGTCTCCTCAGCCGGCGGGACAAGAGGATTCAAAGAGCGCAGGAAGATCCACGTCAGGAAGCGCAGACGTGGATGGTGCGTCGGCAGCTACTTCCAACCCCTGCCCAGCAATGAGGCTGTGTGGTTCAGTGGTAGTCCCACGGCGCCCCATCGTTGGTCGCTGCAATACCGCTGATGGAGAAGAAGTGCTGGTCATAGTTGTATATGGAGTGCTGGCGGCGGCTCCATAGACGACGGCCGCAGGCTGAAAGAAGAAGCCCAGCGCGAGGGCGATCATAGGTGGTAGGTGCGCACCTTGTCCCCAAAGGTGCTCGCGATGGCGCAGTAGCTCCTAGCTGTGCCGTGCGAATAGCTGCTTTAAAAAGGAGCGCGCCGCCTCTCGCCTCCAAACATGCGCGGCTGACAAGTGTGCTGCGCCAATATATGTGTAGTACATCACTGCGACGTCAAAGACGATCTTGTCCAGTTCGACAGCCGAGCCCATAAGCCCCAGACGACCCAGTGGTGAGGATGGCCGTGAGTAACCAAGCTCCTGTTCCAGGAGGCAACGAAATGGTCGGCACTGTAAGTAGTGGTGAACGGCATCAGGTTCGCGCGAGCAACCAAAACGGCATGAGAGGCGCCCGTGTGGCCGTAGTATTATGTGCGAAGTCGCCCATCCATTGGCAACCGTCTTGAGGTAGGCAAAGGCCCATGGAAGTGAGCATCCGCGAAGATATTGAAATATGTGCACCCAACGTTGTGCAGGAACATGCGAGTCGCCAATCACCCCCCGCTCAGGGAAGCGGTTGATGAGACGAGCCTCCAAGAAGGTCCACAGCGGGAGGTGGCAGATGCGTGTCTTGATCAACTTGGTGACGCATCGCTGCAAGCCCATCGACGTGGACGGCAGTGCTTGCCATCGATCAGCTTCTTCATTGGCTGCGGCAAGGTGTGCCTGCAAGTAATCAGGGAAGATGCTGGAAGCAGAGCAGTCTCGGACTCTGGCCAGCGTTTCGACAAAGGCCTCAGATTGCCAGAAGTGTGGATACGGTCGCCCCCCACTAGTACGAATTTGAGAGAGCACACGAAGGTCGCCTAGTTGCTGGTGTTGGCGATACATCCAATCATGTAGTCTTTGAAATTCAGGGAGCGCAGCGCGGGAAGTCCTGATCAGGGCCCCGATGCTTAGGGCGAGCCATGAGGGAACCGAAGGGCCACCAGCGCTGCGAACTTGGAGCCAGGCAGAGCTGTTGAAGGTGCCGAGAGGAACCCTGAAGGTCCTGGAGAGGGCCACAAGCTCTTCGCGGAGAAGCCAGCTGGGCATCATGCGAAACTGCGCGACGTACGAGAGCACGGGAGCAATTCTTGTCGTGTAGTTGGCCGCGAGCCGCGAGACCGCGAGCGGGCTCGTGCCTACCAATTTCGATCTCACTTTAACTTTGATAGATGGCGCCAGCCAGCATGAGCTCTCATCTGCAGCAGGGCCCAGGACAAGGCCGAGGTAAGTCAGAGAACTAACCACCTGAATATTTGCAAAGAGTGGGACAATATCACGTATCGGTTCATGCATGGAGGTAGCCACCCGCTCCGTTAACTGGGCGTGGAGCGGCACCAGCAGGCACTTGGTGAGCTTGAGCACAAGCGTAGAGAATCTCTCCGCTGTCTGCATCACGTCAGCAAGGATGCGGAGTGCCTGAAGCTTCTTGACGACGCATCCAATCTCATCAGCGCCGGCCCGAGCAAGGCCAAGCCGTGGGGCCT